TTTAAAAAGCTCATTCCATTGAATAAGCTTATTCATGAATTTATGGTCAAATGACACTTATACCCCTATTTAATTTAAAGTCTTAACTAAACTACCTATTCACAATTAGTTTATTGGTCATTTCACATACTCAAACTACTTTAAACTATCAGCTATTTACCAAACACTGTTAAACAATCAGCTAATAAAATTAGTTAGTCAAATCAGTTAATACAATCAGCCAATGAAAATCAGCTAACACAATCAGTTTCACCTTTCAGCTTTAAGCTATTCACCAAACACGTCCTATATGTAGGGAGGAACCTTCAATATAATGTGAGCTTACTTTCTGTTCCTCAATCAATTTCTTAGACGTCTAATTGCTTTATTGCATACATTCCATGTCTTGCTGTGCATAAGACTGATACGAGGTAAACTTATACATCCAACTCTCTGCAAGTAAACCATCTTTGTCATTCTAGCTTGATCAAGCCATCGTCGAGTTCTCCACAGTCCACGTACAAGCACATTTGAAGCTAAACAAATAGAGGGGACATGTTTATATATGCTACACACATCAGAGTTGAAAGGTGGATCAAAACTAGTCGCGACCAATGATATACGAAGTATATACCTTGTACTACTATCACAGACATTTTACAATAAATGTACAACTTAATTTTGTTTATGAGCCTACCATGAGCACCAAATTAGAAGAAGAATGTTATGTTGAGACACCAACAGCATTCCAAATCTTATTGGACCCGATGTATCTAATCAATAGGTCAACTCTGTTTAATTGTATGGCATGTTGCGTTTATGCTACATGACAATCAACATAGGCATAATTTTAAGTCGTACCAAGTTGTAGGGGTTGTCCGGTTGGAGTATAGCGTGCCATCATACCTCTAAATTATACAGGATGAATTGATCTATTTAACTAGTTTATTATAAGTCATTTATTGAACAAGTATACTTCGTAAATATCTCTAACTAATTAAGGGATGTTTTGGAACGAAAACCCTGTAGATCGAGTAGACAAATAAGAATCCACTCTCAGAGACGGGGTTTTAACCTTAGCTCCCTCGTCTCTACCACACCAAATTTACACAGTGAGTCCCCTGCATTCCGTGCAAGAGCAACCGATGAGGCTTAGAGGACTATGTTTCTCCCTCAAATAATGTAAAATCTGCAATCACTTCTTTGTAAGTTTGTAACACATTCATTCTTAGAGATGATATCGAATTATTCATAAACGAGAATCCCGTCGAGTTTGTCTAATCAGCAGTTCAACAAATTTGTGCACATAATATTTGTTGCCTGAAATAAAAGGGCACTGCCAAATACCTAAAAAGCTAGGAAGCTATACTAAGAAATTTCATGTACCACACCTTTACTTACAACCCCCTCTATTGCAATAAAAGATACCAAATTTAATCTCCATATCTTGAATGAAAATGAAATTATAAGATATGATTATAATTATAATTATAATTATAAGATGTAGCATGTCCATTTTAGGGTGAATTATTATTTAATTAGATATGACACCATCTCTTGAAGAAGTAAAAATGGCAGAGTAAATAAAAACTCTTTATTCTAGAATATTTCTTGGTTCTATACTTCTATCATACAAAAAGATTTATCAAATTGTGAGCCACTTGTCAATTAGCGTAAGTGGTTAAAAGTCAAGATATTTATTCAAATTTCGTCTACACCATTTCCTCAAAGATAGTATCTACACCACAAAAACCATAAACTCGAATTCCAAAACTAATGAACATGTTAGTAAAATCATGAATTCAACTACTAAAAATGGCTAATCATATGTATCATGAATATGTTTAAATTTTTCAACATCATATAAAGGAAAAAAAAAAAAAGGAAAAAAAACACACATACACAATTTTTTGCATTATATAGGCAAACAACAAAATACAAAAATTTAAGATTAAAATGACAAAATTAATAAAATTAAAAACTTACAACAAAAACAACCCAAATCATATTTAGTCACCAAAATCCATATAACAATTTCTCCTTAAGCCAATTGAAGCTCCTCTTGAAAGACCCTTTGACTTTCCCTTCAACAGTATAAGCTCTATAACTTGCAACCCTTTTCTTCCTCTTAAACTCTGGATCACTAAAGCACCAAACTTTCGAATTCGAAAACGTTTTCGATTTCTTCAGCTTATTATCAAATTGATTCTCATAAAAATTATGATTGTTGTTATAAATATCATCATTGTTATGGTGATCTAAACTGTAACTTCTTCGATCATTCCAAGCATTCTTACTGCCACCGTGATAAAGATCAAGCTGCAAATTATTCGTCGTCGGCCCGTATGATGTTCGAGTATCGAATTCAGCAGCCATGGAAATTTCTGGGTTTTGTTGTGTGGTTGGGAAGAAGAAGAAGAAAACAGAGTATGAAGAGAGAGAAAAGTCTTTGTGTGTTTTTATTTGATGATCATGTTTTATAAAAGTTGGTTAGTGGGAAAAATAAGACTAAGTAGTATAAAAAAGGAAGCTAATTCCAGCATTTACGTGTTTTATTTTATGGGTTGGAAAAGATTTTATGTGTTAGTTTTATGCAATTATTGTTATCACAATTTTATTGTTTTTCTTACGTGACTTGGTCAAAGGTTGGTGAAGAATTTGTGAGGGTATTGTTGCGAATTTAGACTAGAACTAAAAAATAACATAAGACTAGAACTAAAAAAATGTTAGCCTAGTATTTATGATGATTTAGAAAGATTTGTGGAATATGATCTGAATTAGAGAAATTCTTCTTTGGATTTTGGCGACCGATTGTAGTTTTTGATGGCCCGCTTTTCCTTTTATAAATAGACCTGATAAAATTGACCCGACTTGAATTGACTTGAGTCTAATGATTTGATTTATTTCTAAATTTTAACCAAGATGAAATACTTTGAAGTTCGCATCAGCTAAAGTTAACTCGACCTATGATAAATCCATACCAAATTAACCCAAATCAATTTAGAAAATTAATGTAGCTCAAATTGATATGTCGTCTTTCAAAACAAATTTGATGCATGTCTTTCAAAAAAAAAAAAAAAAAAAGGAGAATTTGATGCATATCTGGAAGATACATAAAGAGGCTATGCAAATTATATCTTTTGATTGATAATAATGTTTATTTTTGGTTGTTATTTATCTTATATTTTGATAGATATAGTTTTTTAATGAATGATAATTATCTTTGGATTTTAGAATATTCTAAAATTTACATTTCCTATAGAAAGGGTTGTATATATTAACTTGTTATAAAGAGATTAATGAGTTAAATAAATTGGTAGCATAACCTAAGGAGGCATGTGCATAATCAGGAAGACAAACTACTCCATGAAAGATTAATATTCTTCATATCGTGTGTGTGTTTTATTTTTAATTTGCCAAATAAACTCAAACAACCACTGAACAAAGAGATTTAAGCATAGATTGTGAAATCCAAAAAAAAATAAAATTTAAAGTCTTCTTTACACATATCAAGTGGTCTTCTTGAGAACAAAGAAAACACATCAAAATTAATTGACAATAATGCTACAAATGACTTGAATAGATTTGACTTCTCCAATAGTTAAATGAAAAGTCTCCTCACACGAATATAAATTAACTTGGAGGTACACAACTCATACTCAAGTTGAAAGTCTTCTCACCTAAACATGACTCGACCTGAATTGACAAATTAAACTCATGTAAGTATCAATGACCTAATTGTTACCTATAATTACAAAAAAAAAAAAAAAAATGATTTTGCTATCTTTAAGTTATTCTTAATTAATTTTCCTTTTTCCACTGCAAGAGCAATCTAACTTAAAGTTTTTATTTGTCTTTGTTCCTTTCCACTTCTCATAGGCTAAGATCTTAATAGTCTTCAAAATAATTAGTTCATGGTCTATCATCAATGGTAATAGATGGTATGCCCTATTTCCCATTGTTTTCCTCAGGACCAGCTATTGGGGCTTTTTAATCTGGAATTTAAAGTCAATACAAAAAAAATTGAGTGAGCATGTATATTTTAAGTATAAGGCCATGTTCACTTCACCTTAAAAAAATAATATTAAGTAAAAATAATTTCAGATAGTAAAATTAATTTCAGTTCAGTAAAAATAAGTTCAGTTCAGTAAAAATCAGTAACTATAAAGAAGAAATATAATAGAAAATCGGTAAAAATAATTTCAGTTCAGTAAAAATAATTTCAGTTCAGCAAAAATAATTTCAATTCAGTAAAAATAATTTCAGTTCAACAAAAATAAGGTGAAGTGAACTGGACCTAAGTTGGTTGAGTCGGTGGTAAATTCAAAAAAATTAGAGCTATGTTGAGTTGTTGCTTGGGGATTGGGTTCAATACTCCTTCCCAAAACATAATTTTTCTTAAAAAATAAAATATATGATGATTTACAATTATGTAATTAAATATAAGTGAAATCATTAGTTTCTTACTTACTTTATAATATTACTTTATGAATTTATGGCTATAGAATGCAAATTATTTGAGATAAAAAAAAAAATGTAGGAGGTTTTTTTTTAAAAAAAAATACACTACATGAAAAGGGCAAATTGGCAACGGTTCAAACCCCCCCAAAGGCAACGGTTTTGAACCGTTGCGTATTTGAGGGTTGCCAAATCCCAAAATAATTGGCAACGGTTTTGAACCGTTGCCAACTCAAGCAATTGGAAACGGTTAACCGTTGCCAACTCAAGCAATTGGCAACGGTTAACCGTTGCCATTGACCAATTTTTTTTTTTTTTAAATAATTGGCAACGGTTAACCGTTGCCATTGACCCATTGGCAACGGTTAACCGTTGCCATTGACCATTTCTTTTTTTTTTTTTTTTTTTTTTTAAATAATTGGCAACGGTTAACCGTTGCCATTGACCATTTCATTTATTTATTTTTTTTTTTTTTAAATAATTGGCAACGGTAATCATTTTAGGTAATAATCTCAAAGGCAACATTTTAGGAGGTAATCATTTTTTTTTTTTTTTTTTTTTTCGGTAGGTAAGAAAGGGATATTATTACTAAAAGAAAAAAGGGCAAGCCCTCATAAAGTACAGCCGCACCGTGTCCTCATACACAAATAAATACGCTACGTGAAAAAAATACAAACCCCTCCAAACTTGGAGGTTACAAACAGCAACAAACCAGCAAACCATTCAAATCTAGCCAATTAATATAATTACAAGTTTCTTAATCTGAGTCAATGGTTAAACGAGCTAAACATCCCTTGATTCATATCTTCCACCTCGATGGTCTACGGGGTCATCAGACATCTGAAATTGATATTAAAAAAATGTAAGTAATTTTCTACACATAACAAATATAACTCCCATAAACTAATTAATACATATAAAATAACAGTGCAAATTATTTAGAAAAAAAAAATAAAATAAAAAAAATTAAAGGGGCTAAGACATACAGTACATAATACAAATTGCACATAACAATAGCCCTGACACACTCTCATAAGCCTAGCATAACAATAGCCCTGAGTAGCTATGAAAATGATTATAATTGTATAATGTATAAGTTACTAAAAGAGTTCTTAGAAAAAAAATTTGATGCTCTTCAAAAAGGCTAGTGGAATGTCTACTTAACTATATATTAGCAAAGTAAGCAAATTAGCCGATTCTGGAATATTTTGTCATGGTTCTTGCCAGATAGCTAGCAGCTCATACGCAAATATAATGGAAACCACATGAAGGTCTAAGCCGACTCCCTGTTTGTCGGACCAAGCCGAAACAACATATAATCTGTCAAATTACATGCAATAAAGTCATATCTCAGTGATCTGATAGAGGACATGGAATCCCTTCAGAAGTAGCAGAAAAAAAGATAAAACAACCAGCTGCGCACAATAAAGAAGCTTAAAAGAGTGGGTTTCTAGTGCAACACCTACTCCTACTGAAGCTTCAATCCAAACCCCAGGAATATACAAGTTCTAGCACAGTATGAACCCCAACAATAAGCCCAACAGACCTCTAGACGACTTGTCTAATCGATGTTAAAAACTATTCTTTAAACTATTCTCAGATCTCAATGTTTAGAATTAACTAACTATAATGTGTTATGATTATCATATTTATCTTCTAATTAAGAAGCCCCAAATCACCTTAATGAGCCCAACTGCCTTATCTACTCTACCCCCTGCTCCCTGATGATCTGATGATCTAACCTAATGGTCTGCTGGGTGCCTTATAACCTTATCAACGTAAATTAAAATGAAGTCAAGCAATATAGGAAAAGGAACACATAGGAATTAAGTGATGGTATGCTACTGAACTAAAAGCGGTAGGAAAGGAATGCAGACTCTGTTCGGTTCTACAGCCATAACCTGTAAGGCTGTAACCAGCAATAATCATGCCGAGAATAGTATTAGTGTAATGATCTAAAAGCTATCCTGAAAGATTAGAATCCTTCAATGAAAAAAAAAATAGTAATGATAATAATAATATATGCAAGTGTAATCTCAAGGAATACATTTAATGGCAAATGCAATTAAACAGTCCAAAAGTAAGTATCAACAGCTTACCTCCTGATTCAATTGACGCTGGATATCTTTTGCAGGTGAGCTATTGTCATTCGCAAAAAAAAGGCTCGTCCTGCCAGAGAAGTCCCATATGTGCAACTACACCAATGGAAATAAAAATCAGAAACAGCTTCATTTTGTGCTGAAAAGAGATAAATTAATATGATAACATCCTTACCAAATCTGCCTCAGTGTTGAATATTTTGCAAGCTCGTCTAAAGAGTTCAGCAGCATTGTCCTAATTAAAGCATTAAACAAAGAACCGTTTATACAAAGATAGCACATAGTTAACTAATTCATCCTCCCCCCTTCCCCCCCCCCCCCCCCCTAACCATTTATACAAAGAACGAACTCGAACAAAGACATGCTCATACAAGGTTTAATATTTAACCATTTTTCATGAAATTTGTTGCAAAACACTCCTTAAACATAGCATAACAACATGGAACAAACAATTTCAAGAATAATGGACCGAATTGAAAACTCCCAAATTCGAAATTTAGGGTTTTTTTGTTCGATTTTTCCCAATTTTGACCAAAAAAACTGTAAAATTATTTGACAAAATCTATAACCGAATGAAATATTAAAGACAAAAAATAACTTAACTTAACCTCTGGCCTCGTATTTCTCCTCCTCCTTTCCGCAATTCGTACCCCAAAAACCCCAAAAAAATAAGGGGAGAAAGACGAGAAATAAGGGGAAGGAGAAACAGAAGGGGAAGGAGAAACGGGAAGGAGAAACAGAAGAGGAAGGAGAAACGGGAAGGAGAAACAGAAGGGGAAGGAGAAGAGAAAGAGATTCAGAAAAACAGGGGGAATGGGGGAAGGACAAGAGAAAGAGAGCGAAGGAGAGGAGAGTACATGTTGGATTTTTTTTTTTTAAATTGGCAAAACCGTACAGTGTTGGCAACGGTTGTTGCCAACCTCTACCCCTTTTTTTTTTTTAATAATTTAATCAATTGGCAACGGTTAACCGTTGTCAATTTAAAAAAAAAAAAAAAGGGGTAGAGTTGGCAACGGTTTACATGAACCGTTGCCATAGGGGGGTTGCCTATTTCTATTTTTCTACTAGTGATAGCACAGGACCCTAAAAAAGTTTAAGACAATCCTGATTTTCCTTACATATCTAGTACATGCACATGTTATTAGTTCTTTTTAATTTTCTAAGACCATGGACAATTTAGAAATTTAACATATGAGGAGATCCTCACTAACTTCTTGACTAAAGCAGTTGAGTAGCTCTCCTACAATAGCCCTTCTCCTTACCATAGAAAATGAAAAGGTTCTCTCCATTATAGGGATGATATCAAGATCCATATAATAGTTGCGAGGATAGGAAAAAAATCTTTACTTGTTAAGGTTATAGCGTTAGGTTTGATCACCTCTACCTCAAAACAGACACGATATAATACTTAGGTTGCACAAAAACGGATACTAACATGAATACGGATACAAAACGAATACGGGAAAACGTCTATTTCAAAATAAGGGATACGGTATGGGATGTTAAAATACATATAATATATTTAAAAAAAAAAGAATTTGACCATATATTTGTCATTTTGTCCTCTCATTAGATTATACTGTATCATATTAACAATGAGCTATATATGAAGGCACCCATATTATTTAACAATTACCTTATATATCTTACTTTACTTAAATTTTCTCAGTAAAAACAAAGTTGAACAGATAGGATACGGTCTGAGACGTATCGTCATGTGTTCCACGAGTGTAGGTGTCTGATACGAATGTCTGGCACAAATACGACAATTGGATGAAGTATCCATGTAATAACACAACATTATACAACATGACACAAGTACACAACAAAACCCATGCCCCAACTCCATCATGCTTTCCACAAAAAGCTACACAACACATCAACCCAATCAAGAGATAATTAAAAACCCAACAATGAAGAAGCCCAAACCTTCCAAATTCCCAACACCCTCCAAAACCCGAACCGAAAAGAAAGCAGGCCGGGTAAAAGCCCCATTGAAGGGACAAGCTTAAGCAAAAGAAAGAATAGCAAAACCCTAATATAAATACACTTGGAACATCGGCAATTGGTTGTCGTTCCTTGTTTCAAATATAAAAGCTTCCTTTTTTCTCTCTCCTTCACTCTCTTCAGATCCTGTTAGAGTTCCTCCACGGCTCTAACCCTAGTTCTTTCTTTCGCTGTTCTCCGCTTTTCAATCTCCTTTTCGCTCTATTTTTCCCCTGTTTTCAAGTAAGTTTCTTCTCCTTTTTTTCGTTTTATTCATCTGTTTATCTTTTGTTAATTGCTGCTGAATTTTTCGCGATTTTTTTTGTTCGTTTTGTTATAGATTTAGTTGATTTCTGTGGTGTAAATTGTGTTTTTGATTTAAATGCTTGATTTGTTCCTTATTCTGCGTTTTGTGAGGTGACTAATGTAATAATGATGTTGAATTTATCAACAATATTGTGTAATTGGGTTATCCTATTGTTTCTGTCTTCTCTGTTGTATTTTGTTTAGATTTGATTTTGTTTTTAGGTTTGTGTGTTAAAAATTTGCTATTTTGATTATTAATATTGTTGGCTGCACTTTTTTCGTCTTAGAATGCTTGATATTTTGATATACCCGGATTTGATCTATAATTTGTAAGAAAATGAGGGTTATTTTGGATAAAAAGCTCGAATCTTTCCGATAAATTTACTTGTTTCCGTAAAATTGCAAAGATTTTGTGCATTGAAGATGATTGTAGAAATTATAGGGAGGGATTATCAACGTTGGCTACTCTTGATTTGTAGTCTTTGCGAAATAATGCTAGAATTAGCGGCTGTTTATTGGTGATTTTTTTATCAAATATTTTGACTTTGCCGCTTTTGATTTTTGGAATTCAATTGTGTTGTTACTGAATTTATGCTTTGAGCGAGTTTGCAATGCTTAATTTGTGTTTGGGGAATCTGATTGTATGTTCGTGATTGCAGTCATGGCAGGAGTTGCACCCGAAGGTTCTCAGTATGATGCTCGTCAGTACGACAACAAAATGAGTGAATTGTAAGTTATTTGCTTGTCTGTAATATGTGATCTGTACAAGTTTTTTGATTTTCTTGGTATATTGATTTCCGTCTTGCCTATGATGATAAAGGCTTTCCGAGGAAGGAAGCGATTTCTTCACCTCATATGATGAGGTTTATGAAAGCTTTGATAAGATGGGTTTGAAAGAGAACCTTCTCAGAGGAATCTATGCTTATGGTAAATTTAAAGACTTAATTACTTGAAGTTGAAATTATGTGTTTACTTTGTCCTTTGGGTAATTTGTATTGATGTCTGCTGTCAGGTTTTGAGAAACCTTCTGCAATTCAACAAAGGGGAATCGTTCCCTTCTGTAAGGGTCTTGATGTGATCCAGCAAGCCCAATCTGGTACTGGAAAGACCGCCACTTTCTGCTCTGGAATCCTGGAGCAGCTGGATTACGAATTACTGGAATGCCAAGCTCTTGTGCTTGCTCCTACTAGGGAGCTTGCTCAGCAAATTGAGAAGGTTATGAGGGCCCTTGGTGACTATTTGGGCGTGAAGGTGCATGCCTGTGTTGGAGGAACCAGTGTTCGTGAGGATCAAAGAATCCTTGCTGCTGGGGTACACGTGGTTGTTGGTACCCCCGGTCGTGTCTTTGACATGTTGCGAAGACAATCACTTCGTGCCAATCAAATTAAGATGTTTGTTTTGGATGAAGCTGATGAAATGCTTTCTCGTGGTTTCAAGGATCAGGTATGCATACATATTAAATCTACGTAATGCCTTTGTGTTTTTTGCACTTCCTAGTTGTGATAAGTTGGTGTTGTATATTAGCCATTTTGGCTCTATGAAAGTTGAGAAGTTGGGTTAAATTATGTCTGATAACCTTTGGTTAATTTTGTGTATTGGTTACTAGTTTATGGTGCTTGTTCTAGATGTGTGGTGCATCACTTGTATGTCGAAATAGGTGATTTATGCCCCTTATTATTGCTGAAAAAGGATAGTTGCTTGGTTGGTCCTCGCTTTTGTGTGTAAGATAACTTGGCTAGAGTTTTGGGCAGAAGTAATCTGTCTTGCATCCTCTGAGGCTAGGTATTGTTACTTTTTCAGTTGATACACTTGAATACCTCAATATGAGCGAATGTAGCTGCTGTTTTTTGCATCTTTATGAGAAAGTCACGGTCTTTTTACTACTGCTTTTGTTACTTAATGATGGATGTTTCTTGATTAATTTTGTAGTTACTGCTGTAGTTGATTTGTAGGGGAAACCAATTTTGTGGATTAGTGGAACTAATTTCTTATTGTGCTACAGATTTATGACATCTTCCAGCAACTACCACCAAAGATCCAAGTGGGTGTATTTTCTGCAACTATGCCCCCAGAGGCTCTTGAAATCACCAGGAAGTTCATGAACAAACCTGTGAGGATTCTTGTGAAGCGTGATGAGCTCACTCTTGAGGGTATCAAGCAGTTTTACGTGAATGTTGACAAGGAAGACTGGAAGCTTGATACTCTTTGTGATCTGTACGAAACCTTGGCGATTACCCAAAGTGTCATCTTCGTAAACACCAGGAGGAAGGTCGACTGGTTGACCGACCAGATGAGAGCCCGTGATCACACCGTTTCAGCCACTCATGGAGACATGGACCAGAACACTAGGGACATCATTATGAGGGAGTTCCGTTCTGGGTCCTCCCGTGTCCTCATTACCACCGATCTTCTTGCTCGTGGTATTGATGTGCAGCAAGTCTCCCTTGTGATCAATTATGATTTACCAACTCAACCAGAGAACTACCTGCACAGGATAGGACGTAGTGGACGATTCGGAAGGAAGGGTGTTGCCATCAATTTTGTGACCAGCGACGATGACAAGATGCTCTTTGACATCCAGAAATTCTACAATGTCACAGTTGAGGAGCTTCCTGCTAATGTCGCCGATCTTATCTGATGACCTGAGGGCTGATATTTTGTTTGTGTTTTTAGGGAAGGTGTTTTGTCTGTCCAATTAGTAAAGATTCCATTTGGACAACGTGGTGTTTATTGGATGATAATTATTTATCGGATGACAGTTCACAGCTATCAGTTTTATTACTATGCGTTTCATATTTTCTTCCTTTATTTGGGAACATCACTAACCACGCTGTGGGTGTCCCAGCTTAAATTTTTGTAGGAGACAGTTTAATGTACTTTTGTATTTTAGGTTAAGAAGAGTTTTTTTCACCTCTGGGCACATTTGCTGATCTTTATTTTCGCTGGTTTTAGTTTTACTGTCATCAATTATTCGATTATGTGTTTCTAGTCTTGCTAGTTGCTACTGTACTGTGATTTGGGTTCTATATACTAGTAGAAGCTCTTTTAGGTTATCGTATTTGGTTAGAAATGATGCGTACGAAACTCATCTACTCGAGTCTTCCAATTACAACAATTTCCATGTTATAACGTTAGTACGAAACTTAGCATACAAATTGATCAAAGGGGCCGATTTCTCTCTGAAGTTAAACTACTAGCAAATATCAATAACCATTGCAATTAGAAGGAAAATTTGACAAAATAATGATACCAATTTAGCTCTATATGATGTTATAATTGGTTTGTGAACCGACTCATAATTGTGTTTTTAAGGAGGTTGTGAAACGGTGAACACTTTGTCAAGGTCATTGTTCCTATCTTTAAAATATCAGTAACAGATTCCTACCCCAAAGGATGGGGTGCAATTTTTTGTAAGCATTTGAGCACTAACCACCTCAATCAAACCCCACTTCTTAGTTGTGTTGTCTTGTAAGAGAAATCCTTTTACTTTTATTTTCTTTTTATTTGATGGAAGTAATTGAACAAAAAGGAAATTTTAAAATACATAACCAATTGAAACTCTAAGGGTGTGTTTGGTTCATCAAGTTGGAATGAATTGGTATAAAATCTCATATTAGAAAGACATGAATTTTAAAACCCATACTAGTCCAATGTTGTTTGGTTTTATCGTTGGAATAAATTCTATCCTTCATTGATAGAATGAATTGTGAATCTTAGGGGGAGGGATGTGTATGGGATTCTATGGGTATGAGATTCCATTACTAAAAACCTCAACCAAACAAAAACTTAGAATGAATTCTAACTCCTTTCTAATCCATTCCAAATGATTCAACCAAACGACCCCCTTAAGTGCTTAAGTTGAATGTAGAACATTTTATTAACGCTACCTATTGTAGACGGGAAAGTTGTAATTAAAAAAGAGTAAAGAAAAAAAAGTATAAAAGTCAACATTGTAAGACATATCAAACGTCCAGATAGGATTAAACAAAAAATAACTATTTATCTTTTTGAAAAGAATCCTAAAACGAGTTGAATACAAACTAGTTGAAGAAACTTAAAATCATTGCCCACATTATGAAATTAACTTACTTAAGAAAATTAATCCTTTTTTTTTTCTTTTTTTCTTTCCATAAATAATGGGAAAATTATAATTTTAAAAGGAATTAAATAATAATAATAATAAAATAATAATATAAATAAGTGGGAGGTATTACCCTAGGTACCCTTTCATTGGTAAACAATTGTCCTCGAATTTTCGGAAAAAAAGGCTTCAGCTTTCTCTTTCTCTCTCCTCCTCAGATCCGGTTAGAGTTCCTACACGGCTCTAACCCTAACTCCAATCAACACTCTCGATTTTTCGGTTCGTCTCACTTTCAATCATCATCAATTTCAAGTATGCTTCTTCATCTGATTCTTAATTTTACGCTAATTTGTTAGATTTTCTCCTCTTTTTCTTCAATTTTGATGTTGTTGGTTTAGCTGTATTTTTGGCGATTGTGTGAGATCTGCGGTTTGAGATCCGTTAATGTTTCAATCTTTTTGTTGATTTGATGTTTGATGCGTTTTGTATCGTATAAATTAGCTGAATTATAAATGAATTTGTGATTTGATGCTGTTGCTTGATGAAATTGACGATCTTTTAGGGAGGAATTAAAGTTGAATTGTGATCGATTTACTTGATTTGTTTTTTATTTTTGCTGATTGATTTTTCTTCTATCTATTGAATGTCGGAATTGTTGGTAATTATATTCATATTGTGCTGATAACATGGAATTTTGTATGATTGCTGTGTTGCGGAGTTCAAATTTTCTTACCAGCATAGCTTAGCTTAGCTTGATTGTGCAACGATTCATATCTCCTGTTCTGCATCGTTGCGTAGTGATTCGGAATTAGTATTGATGATGCATCGCTGTGTAGTGAATCAGACTTAGGGCCGAGGAGGTTTTTTGGTCTCAAGTTTGAATCTTTCTTTTATCTATACAAATTTGGACAGTCGGACAAGATGATATGATATCTTAGATCTTTGGAAATAAATGTCAATGGTTGTGTCAAGCCTTTATGATAAAGGATGTAGAGTGATTTCATTGTGAAGCCCTCTGTAATAATCCCTTAAGTTAGACATCCTAAAATCCAATCATAATTTATTTTTCTTTTAAAGATGATAACTTATTCGAGACTTCTCAAATTAGTACGTTCTTTTTTGTATGATATTTATCTTTGAAAGGGAGGCTACATTTATTCTTTTATAAATCAAGAATAAAGCACATGGCTTTGATATTATCATCAAGGGGCTAGTATCTTGTATCTATCCCACATACTTGAGCAGTAATCAGGAGTTCATGTAAATGAGCTTTGATAATGTCTGGAATCTTTTTATGTTTATTTTTTAAGTGTTGTAATCAGTTTGCTTTTTTCTATGTATTAATGGGCTTTGGTTTTACATTATGCAGTCATGGCTGGAGCTGCTCCTGAAGGTTCTCAGTTTGATCCTCGTCAGTATGACACCAAAATGACTGAAATGTAAGTTTGTCCACCTCCCTCCTTTCTGAAGTCATACTCCCAATTCACTTGCACTTGATCATTTAGTAAATAAGGACGTGCTTTTAAATCTATATTTTGTATGTGGGAATAGCTTTTTGCTCTTTCTTTTTCTAACTTCCTTTAATCCTATGATGAAGGCTTTCTGAGGAAGGAAATGATTTCTTCACTTCATATGATGAGGTTCATGATAGCTTTGATAAGATGGGTTTGAAAGAGAACCTCCTCAGAGGAATCTATGCTTATGGTAAATTTTAAAGATGCAATTACTTTAAATTGAAATTATGTGTTTACTCTGTCCCTTAGTTAATTTGTATTGATGTCTAATGTCAGGTTTTGAGAAACCTTCAGCGATTCAACAAAGGGGAATTGTCCCCTTCTGTAAGGGTCTTGATGTGATTCAGCAAGCCCAATCTGGTACTGGAAAGACTGCCACTTTTTGCTCTGGGATCCTGGAGCAACTGGATTATGAATTATTGGAATGCCAAGCTCTTGTGCTTGCTCCTACTAGGGAGCTTGCTCAGCAAATTGAGAAGGTTATGAGGGCTCTTGGTGACTATTTGGGTGTGAAGGTACATGCTTGTGTTGGTGGAACAAGTGTTCGTGAGGATCAAAGAATCCTTGCTGCAGGAGTACATGTGGTTGTTGGTACCCCTGGTCGTGTCTTTGACATGTTGCGTAGACAGTCCCTTCGTGCAAATAACATCAAGATGTTTGTTCTGGATGAGGCTGATGAAATGCTTTCTCGAGGTTTCAAAGACCAGGTACGCTGCACATTATATTTGTTTATTCATTTGCAATTAGGTTTTCTGCCTTGCAAATTTAATGAGACTGTTTATGTTTTGTCCTGCCTATTTCTATGTATTATAATCATGCACATATATGAATGTTTCTTGTAATTGATGAATAACTATATAGGTTACTATTCTGCAGTTATTTCTTTTTACAAATTACAATGCTTAATTGCTTCATAAAGTACTATAAGTGGAGCTGCAAATAACTCCTATTCTTCTTTCCACCTCAATCAACCATTATAGATCCTTGCCTATCTGGCATGGGTATAGACGCTTGTCACTTCTTTTTAGGCTAAATAATGATTTTAGTTTCATGAAGTACTTAAGTCTAACACTTGGACACTCGGTCAGTACCTTGTCTCTAAGAATCATAGAGCCTAGTGCCCCCATTTCCCAGTCTTACCTGTTGGGTGGTGTGTGTTTAAAAGCTGGATATACTTTCAAATGTTTTTATTTTATTTTTTAATTTTTGTGTTGGCCTTTTGGATATGATGTGGTTTGTTCTCTACTTTAGTTATGTCGAGTATTAATTTTTAGGTTTTGATTACTGTTGGGGGGTTGGAGTGGTGGTGGTGAAACTTGGTGGGAAGGCTTATTTCATTCTTCTCTTTCGATGCAGTCTTATGTTTACACTATATGAACTGTGCTGTATCTTTTTTACCATAAGTGGCAATCAGAAATGGATGACTATTAGGGTGAGGCTTTGAGGGATTGAGGGAAGTGGTTGGAGTGTTTAATTACTGATTTTTTATTAGAATGTTTGCATGGTGGTGTTTTAATGCACCTTTTAATTTTTTTTTTATGGTTTTTTAATTTATGTGTTCTTTTGAAAGTTATTTCTCTGTTGGATCTTTGTGGATATGCTTAACAAATTCTGGCTGGTTATATGGGATGGCATTGAAATTTGGTGTCATGTTAACAGGCTTACAGCACTGCTATAGATGTTCTTGTTGTGTGCTATGCTGTATTCAGTGTGTTGCCTTGTTTATTGGTGCCATTTTGCATTGGAGGCAAACCTTGGTAGTGTTCTGTTTGAATACATTATTGTCCTATTACTAACCTGGTTAGAATGATTGGTAGAATTTATTTGTGCGGTTAGTCTTTCCTGTTTGAAGAGCTTGGTGGTTCTACTATAGTCATGTTTATATGTTTTTGTTTGTGCGAATGCACAAAAGAATCCAGTGGGTTTGGAGGCATTCAGCTGTAGTAGTTACTCTATATTAGTTTAGATAGATATATTTCAAATAATGATCTACTCCCTCCATACCATAAAAATTGACACATGCCAATGTACTACTTTGACCTTAGATACATATAATTAAATATTAGTAAAAAATAAAAAAAAAGTCGATAATATGAAACTTAATACTACCCCTCCGGTCTTTATTATCTGCAACATTTACTATTTTTGGCCGCCCACATTATGTGCAACAATTCATTTTTTTCCATTTTCAGTAACTTTTTTGTAAAATGACCAAAATGCCCTCACTAAAAAATTAAAAAAACTGGTTATGAGGTTAATTGAACAACCTTTTTAATCTAATCTAAAATCATTAACCTAATTCTACCCACCCCATTTACTCATCTCCTCGTCTACCCGCCACCCATTCATCTCTTTCTTCAACCTCTCTTTCAACCTTTCACCCTCTTCATCTCTTTCAACCTCTTCATCCCTCCTCCCTCACGAGTCACGACCACCGCCCCTCCCACCACCATTCTCTCTCCTCCTTCACGACCACCTTCCATCCCACCACCGTCTTTCTCCTCCATATGGCCACGGCCCTTAGCTCCCACCACCGACGAACGATCCTCTTCATCTCTCCTCCCTCACAAGTTTCAGTTGAAGATGATGTGCAATTAACGATAATATATAGGAAGATGATGTGCGATCCAGATTCATTTTATCGTTTTTTTCAATTTTGTACTCTTTTCGTTTTTTTGGGTGATTTATGTTCGAATATTCTGGGTTTTGTTCGATTTTCTGGGTTTTGATTTCGATTTTTTGGGTTTTGATTTCGATTTTCTGAGTTTTGATTTTCTGGATTTTGATTTCAATTTTCTGGGTTTTGATTTCGATTTTCTGGGTTTTGATTTTGATTTTCTGGGTTTTGATTTCCATTGAAGGTGATGACGATGGTCGGATTTCTGGGTTAGGGTTTTAGGGCATGGGTTTTGGGTTTTATTGAAGGTGATGATGGTGACAATTTCTGGGTTAGGTTTCTAGGGCGTGGGTTTTAGGTGTTTTGGGTAACAATTTCTGGGTTTTTGGGTTTGGGATTTCTGGGTTAGAATTTGGGTTTTTAGGTTAGGGAGGGGGCTGCTGGAAAAAGGAGGGAAAGATGGGGGAGGGGGCTGCCGAAAAAGGGAGGGGAAGACGAATGAGGGGGCTGCCAGAAAAGGGTGGAGTTGCCGGAAAGTTGCTGTCATGGATGAAGGTGGAGGGGAAGAGGGCAGCCATGAATGAAGGTAGAGGGGAAGGGGAAGGGGAAGACAACCATTAATTAGATACTCTCTCCTCCTAATCACATGAATAAAATACACTAATTGTAATCATCAAATTTTGTCTCGTGAACCGCAAACCCTCTGAAAGTTGCAGATAATAAAGACCGGAGGTAGTATTAATACCTATCTAACAACATATTTAATGATAAAATTTATTTTTAATATGTCTCTAAAAACTATGGTCAAAGTTAATATATGAAAATTGAAAAAAGTCCAACGTGTCAATTATTCTAGGATGGAGGGAGTAATATGGAATATTGGGGAAATAGTTAATGAGGAGTTTTCTATGTGTGCTTGCTACATGTGTGTTGTTATTCGGGGGTTCTTACTGCCACATCCGTCCTTACCTGTGTGGGTCTGCGGGAGTGGGGTCACTTGTAAATTTGTCTATGCAGTATTTGGGACTTGGCTAATGTCTTACACTCTTATTTTTCTAAATTGCTGTGGGTTAAATGTGTTACTATTGGTACTTATTTCTTTGTTTTTCCTCCACAGATCTATGACATTTTCCAGCAATTACCCCCTAAGATCCAGGTGGGAGTTTTCTCTGCTACTATGCCTCCTGAGGCCCTTGAGATCACCAGAAAGTTCATGAACAAGCCTGTGAGGATTCTTGTGAAGCGAGATGAGCTCACCCTTGAAGGTATCAAGCAGTTCTATGTGAATGTTGACAAGGAAGAATGGAAACTCGACACTCTTTGTGATCTGTATGAAACCTTGGCAATCACCCAAAGTGTCATTTTTGTGAACACCAGGAGGAAAGTTGACTGGTTGACCGACCAAATGAGAGCTCGTGATCACACCGTGTCTGCCACACACGGAGACATGGACCAGAATACTAGGGACATAATTATGCGTGAATTTCGCTCTGGTTCATCTCGTGTCCTCATTACCACTGATCTTCTCGCTCGTGGTATTGATGTGCAGCAAGTTTCTTTGGTGATCAATTATGATTTGCCGACTCAACCAGAGAACTATCTTCACAGGATTGGACGAAGTGGACGTTTTGGAAGAAAGGGTGTTGCCATCAATTTTGTGACCAGCGCTGATGATAGAATGCTCTTTGATATCCAGAAATTCTACAACGTGGTGATTGAGGAGCTCCCTGCCAATGTTGCGGATCTTATATGATAAGTACAAGTTATCACTTTGTTTGTGTTTTGAGGTAAGATGTTTTGTCTGCCAGCTTACTAAAGATTTGGGTAAGTTACTGTGTGTTGTCTTTTCCTTTTTTTCTCTATTCTGGGAACATCACTAAATTGTGTTGTGGATGCCCCAGGTTAAAATTTTGTAGGAGCATAGAGACAAGTTTAAATTATACTCTTTATCGTATTTGGCTCAAGGATCGTGTCCTCTGTTGCCCTGTTGCCATATATGCTGATCGTTCTGGCATGATTTTGGTTTTGCTTGTAACTCTGCATTTCTGCATGCCCGTGAGCCAAACTATTGGCAGATGGATTGGTTAGGCATATTCTTTGGCTAAAATTAAGAAACCTGACACCTTTTCTACGAGCCTGAATTGTTATTAGTTATTTGTATCTGGAAGACAATCTATTCTTTGACAACACAATAACGGTACATTCACTGTACCATTTACCTTTATTACGCCATTTACTTCCATTTTTATCTTTTCACATTCGGCTTAATCTAACCATCTGCTTCCATATAACCTCCTTTCCTTGTACCATTTACTTGTTTATTTTGCTGCTTCCTATAACCCTGATTTATTGTCTTCATGTCATTTCATCATCATTACAGTGTGCATTCTTGGATTGAAGGCAAAGAGGAAGATGGCCTGTTGAGAGGATGTGGTGTTATAGTGACGAGGGAAGGGGGGGGGGGGGGGTGGAGGGATTTTTACCCTTCTAATGGGGTTTATAGCTCCACCACCCACCTACCCCCCTAGGGTGATAACCTCCACGAGGAGGGTAATGTCCTTTCTGTCAATTATCATCACATCGTTTCATCATCCACTTCTTGTTTTAAAAATGATTGCCTCCTTATTGACGAGGAAGAGGGGTGGACTTTACCCTTCAAACAAGGGCTATAGTTCCCCACCCCAACCTCTAGGGCTATCCCTTTCCTTTCCCATCTGAAGTATTCCGTATGCCCTAAACTACATAGTCTTGATTAGTTTAGAGAGTCTAATCTACAGATTAGTGTGAGGAGATTCACGGAATTAGTTATTACGTGTATTGGATAGTTGTACCTTATTGTGTAATTGGTAGATCCATGCTTCATCAATGTTAAAATTTTGAGACTATGCACTTGTGCTTGTGAGATAAATAAAAATTAAAGCAATGTTGCCCGCGATCGGCGTAGCCAAATCTTAACATGCACTCTGTATTTGATATCTCCAGGTTGAAAGTTGCCATAGCATCATCTAAGGTTGTTCAAACCTGTTCGAAAAATAGGTAGGTTGAATTGATAAAATTTTTGAATTGGGTATAGAAACAACTATCATTTGGGAAAAAATTGGGTACTTGTATAACTTTTTCTTGCTTTTTTCTCTTGTATAACTTCTAAAAAACCTACTTCTAAATAGCCAAAATTACTGCATAGTTCGAACAAATATAGGTTTTGTGTTGGTAAATGATAGAGATCATGTGGTATTATTATTGGCAATGTATGTTGGATGAATAACTTGAATCTCTATATATTTGTGTTTAGATCAAATAATAATAAATAATAGAAGTACTATTTAGTTCCCAAAACCTGTCAAATTGGATGCATCAATACATGGACATTGGATAATCCAATTTTAGTGTCTAACTCGTGAACTCAACCTATGCACAGCTCTATATCTAGATGAGGCATAAACAACTCAAATCATTCTTTGGCATACAACTTCCCTTCCAATTCGAAATTATCATTTGCAAATTTATTGATCTTAAAAATTACATTTCGCGGTAAAAGGAAGTGTTTATGGTTAAAGGTCTCTATATTACACTATATATTGTTAATTGATACTACTTATATTTCTTTTTAGATGACACGTTAAAATTAGGCACACACTTTAAGGATATGAGAGAAAATGTTAAAGCAAGTAGGTAGACCATGTGTTTAGCTTATCTAATATAATTTGTAGTGGGGTTAACTAAAAAAAACTTCCCAAAAAGGAATACACAGCGACTAAAAAAGCGGAGGTAGTATTTTTTGATAGGGAGATAAGTCTTGTTCTTGTAATGGAGAGGATGATACAACAAATTTAGGATATAGGAAAAGTGGATTTGAAAATATTTACTTCATACAAATTTTATTATCAAGTTAATATTGGGACTTTTACACTATTTAGACAATTGCCTTTGATCATCTTCTGTGTTTTTTAATTAGGGAAAACTATAATCAGGTAACGATTTGTTAGATTCGTTTTGATGAATAATTTTAAAATAACATAGTTTAATTATTTTAATTAAACGATAATTAGATGCATTAGTGGTCAAAGATTTACATTGACGATAGAAAAATTTCAGATGTTGCACTTATTAAAAAATAAAGGAAGGAGTGATTTACCATACATGTTCATTAAGTACCTTGTAACGCCCCCTTGATCCACAAAAGCTTCCAATGCTCTCCGAATACTCAAAGTACCTCTACGATAAGTATATCATAGTTATAAACTTGGTAGTGCTCCCAAACCTCCACAGGAATATAATCTTGAGATTCTTAACTATAATATTCGCTTACATCTCCTCGCACCCTTTCCGCAATAGAAAAGGGTGGTCTTAACTCTCAAAGAACATCAATGCTAGAATTGAATTCTATTGGCAATGTTTGTGGTGAATTGGGATCTTATTCTTTTGATTCTATGATGCAAGCGTTTAATCGGGTGAATTTGTATGGATGGGGTTGAAGACTTAAAGCTACGAGTAGTAGTCTTGGCTTCAACAAAATGTGTAACTTTGGTGTTCTTTTACTTTAGGCATGTTTTTCTTTAATCGAATAAGCCATTTATTATTGTAGAATATTCTTGGGTTTTTGCTTTTTTGATTGGATGATAGTTGTGTGAATAAATTTTGGTCGATATTCGTATCTGATCTTTTTATTGAGAACATGTGCTTAAACTCTAGTTTGACCAACCCATTTCTTTTCCATTCCCCCCCTCTACGACCTTTATCGTTCGTTCACTCATATACGTGTAGTCTAGGTGCATCAAAAAAGTATAATTTCGTCTTAATCATTCAAATTAGTTTTTAGGCACGGTCGTTGTCCCTGATTAACATATTTTCACTTATCAATTCAAGGATTTGGGCAAAAAGGTTGATATGGGACGGGGTGAGGTAGGTGGATATGGGGGTATTTATAATCAATGGCAATTGACAATCAATACATTACTTGTGATGGGTTTGACTTTTAATATTCTTTTTTTTTTTTCTTTTTTTTGAAAGAAGACTTTTAATATTCATACATGCTATTGCTTAGTAGTTTACTGCCTATTACCCAACAAAGTCATACTCATGCCTAGTTTAAATAGGACAACACCGGTGTGAAATCTTGTGAAAATTTTCCTACCTCGGGCTGTACTAATGGTAGCAAATCTATTTGTGTTGAGATTAAAATTATTACTTTATTCAAAATTTAGAGTTATTTTACTAATTTTTTGATTTTTTTTTTATTTATTTATTGTTATAAAAAATGCCAACGGTAAAAGTTAGAATAAAGTATTTGAGTACATACACCACTTTTATTTTTGTGAACTTTTTGTAGTTGGTTAAGCAAAAATAAAATAAAAAAGTGTTTTTTCTCTGTCATTAACTTATACTAATCCTTTTTGTAAATTTCATTTGAAATATTGTTAATTAAGATGAAATAATTTTTAAAATTACTCATTATATACTCTACAATAATAGTTGATTGTAACTAATTTGTCTCAAACTCTCAATGATTAGTTTATTTATATTCAATTGTTACATATATTTTTTTTAACTAAGAAAATTAGGTCAAAGTAATATATTAGCAAATACGCAAAGTAAAAATGGGGAGGACTTTTAAAAACAAAGGGAGAATATAGTTTTTGAAATCATCACTCTAAAAATAAGTCAAAATGTCAAATATAGTAGTGCCTAATATAGAAAAAAAAAAAGAAGATTCTTTCTAAATTATTGAGTATTATTATTTTTATTTTTTTTAACAATGGCTGAATTAACATAAATAAATCAGAGTTTTCAAGACACGAAATAAAAGATAAAGCTTACTAAATTATTATATGCGACTATAACTTTTAAAAGAGGAAACAATTTTACTAGTAGCTTTTAAATAGAATATATGGTAAATAAACGCTAGATAGTTTAAATTAGGAGGAAAGCTCCTAATGTATTTGGACAAGAATGAAGCATAATTAAGAAATTATAGGGAGAAAGAGAAAGTAATTGTATGATGTTCCTAGTTGCTTGGTATTCCACTATCCCAGGTTGACTTTGTTAGAACTAGCTTTGATCATTGTTACTTTTGTTAGGTCCAACTACCTTTTTTTGGGCCTGCTAATTCACAAAATGGTTATTCATTGGGCCACTTGCTCTTTATTAGGATTAAGTTATTAACCTTATTTGCTGGAAAAGAGGCAGGGAAGGGTTTTACTAGCAAGCTAAAATATTTTTTTAACCAATTAGGAGTACAAATTTTTATATATGGCTAGTCACGCCACTAATTGATGGTGTGACCGCTTCACATATAAATAATTAACTGAGTTATGGGGGCACGATGATGATCAAGTGGGGTTTATTTGACCAATGAGGGTTACCACAATGAGAAACAGAGTAACCTTTTATAAATAAGTGAGTTATTGTTTTAATAGTAAAAACAAAATTGAAGGGTTACTAGAATTGAAAAAATGAGGTTTTTTTTTTTTTTTTTTTTTTTTATTATTATTATTATTATTTTAAAATTAATTGATGTTACATGTACAATAAATTAGGTTATCCTTATAGATAAAATGATGAGGTAATTCTTATGAATAATTGAGGCTACTCATATACATAAAGGGAACTCTTATAAACAAATGTGGCTAAAAACCAATACAAATGTACTCCATATTGCCACAAGTATCTCATCTGACTATAAGGTGCACATTTTTAACATGAGAAATATTAAAATAATCAAAAGATAGGTTTTCCTTCCTAAAGTGTCTTCATAGATCAGATAAAGAGAAATATAATGGTTATCATTTACTAACTTATTGGTGTCTTGCACATACATTATCCAAATTAAATCAATAAAAATATATTAGGGCTTACTCCACTTTTGCACCAAAAATAAAAAAGAAAAATTGACGCTAGCTAGTAGTCTTAACTATGACTAGTCTTCTTTACAAGATCTCAATTATCAATTAATTTAGGACGAGCCTTACTTTAGGGGGATCCTTTGAAAAACGGCTCATAACGTATTTTAACTGGTTTGGCCGGTTAAAAGTGTCATGTATCTTGTTTTTGTTAAGCGTAGTTAAAAAAAAAAAAAAAAAACTTCCACCACTCTAAACACCCACCCCTCCCTTCAAGCCTAGTTTTCTTCCCCATAAAGCAATACTTTTCAGTAAAATGGATTACTAAACATTCAACATGTGACAATTTTAACTGGTTTACCTAGTCGTAATAAGCTAGGGACTATTTTAAGAAGTACCCCCA